AGCCTAAGCAACAACCAATGTCAAACAGAATGGTCTCGGCAGCAAGTCAACCCGTGCCAAAGGATCTCAAATTCGTATTATGAGTGTTTTCATTTAATTTTTTATTTTTTATTTTGAGTTTAGATAGTGAATTATGTGGATTATGATGTTTATGGATAAATTGTGTAAATTGTGGTGCATCGGAAAACGAAAGCTCATAAGTTCAAAAGGTCTTCCTAGTGCATTTTCAATCCTTATAGGACCCCGCATTAACTTTCAACATTTGGTTATAATCAACTCAACTAGATATTGAAGATTTAAAACCACACATATGAGACTTAAGGGGAGTCAAGGAACGGTTCGAATTTCTAAGTGGGGTGGGTCTCATTGCTAGTCCTCTAAGAGAGTGGATAGGAAAGTCTTGCGGCTAGTTCCTAAATTCTAGGAGAAGAATCTTGAACTCACAAAAAATGAGGTCAACAGAATCCTCAAGTGGAACTATTGACATACCACTCGAAATCGGGATTAAAAACCAAATCTCGTGTACAAACTACTCCGGGAGCATAGGCGTTCGGACTTGGAGCCTAAGCATCGTCGTGCATACTAGATTGTCGCCTTATGTTGGGCGCGCATAGGCGCGATGCGCTAGCCTCTTGAGAATAAAGCAACACATAAGGGTAAGTGGGGGCATACGCACCCACAAGCTGGAGCATATGCGCCAGCTTCTCTGTTGTTCACACTCAACCAGGCGCTTATGCGTCCACAAGCCAAAACATTTGCGTCGGGCACTTTTCCCTTATAAGCTGCTCTCCAAATCAGTCTCCACACAAAACACATACCACTTAATTTTTATAAATTTAAAAAACTTGCACCTAAACTACATACCACCTTACCTGTGCATGAAAAGGTGTCCTCAATTCACTTTTTAAAAATTAAAATTATGATATTTTCTTATGTGATATGAAAGATTTAGTTGGCATGAATATAAGAAGTAATATTTAGTTGTTATTAATTGTATATCCTAATGTGATTTTCTAAGCTACCAAGGAAGCCTTCACTTAAATAGGTCTTCTAATCCTATTGGATCCAGCTTTTTTTATGTAAATATTATCATGCATTTAAAGCCTGTAAATGAGATCGTACTTGCCAATCACGTCCATCAAAATGATAGCTACAAGAATTACTTTTCAAAAGAACATGACGAGCTCCTCCACCATGCTCGCCTATATTTATCAGGCTCCTCTACCGAGATCACCTAAATACATCAAGCTTGTCTACTAAGATAGTCTGCATTTGCCAAGCTTCAGCATCACTTGCTTGCATTTGTCGAGCTTCAACATCGAGCATTTTTACACATCCTTCAAGGTTACTTGTACTGCAGAAGAAGTGGACTCGCTTTCTTGCATTTACCAAGCTTCACCGTCGAGCCCATTTACCAATCTTTCAAGATTACTTGTACGGCAGAAGGAAGTGGACTCTATCCCATCACTGTCTATGCCTATTTATGAGTTCGCTGACACCCATGGCAATGTCTTTTCAATAATAATCTCAGATAGGCTCCGTACAATACACCGAACTTTCCCTCTACAGAGATCTCCTCCTTGCCACCATCCTCGCATGTGTATGCTATGTTAGTTTGATTTGTAAAATTGGATTGGTTTTATTAAAGCATGGTTTAAGTTTAGAATAAGTTGAGACTTGTTTATGTTTGATTTCAATGTAATTTTGGGTATAACTTAGTTTGGATTTAATCTTTAGTTCTACGTTTAGGTTTAGTTTTGATTGCCTTTTTCTAGGGTAAAATTCTCTCAATATTAAAAAACAGAGAGATGTGTATAAAAAGCCGCTGGAGATTCCCTATATACCCAAAATACAACCCACACGAAAAAAACCTACAAAATTATTTACCAAACCCGTTACAAAAAGAAAAAGACAACAAAAAATGTTCATGTAAGAACACATAAGAAGACTCTGGTAGTGAGAACAACAAACAGAAGATTTCGACCAGCAAAGAGATGAAAAAGAAAAACTTTGATAAAGCTTCAGACGTCTCCAAAGGAGTACTGACTGACTGCAAATTTAAGAGAAAGAAACAAAACACAAGAAAAACTACAAGGAACAAAGCACATAAGAAACATAGGATAACTCCAATAATAAAAAGCTAGCAACATCAAGGTCAAGAGGAATATGAAAGGAAAAGAATTAAAGACAATAAATAGAAAAAAAGGAGGCAGATAAATCAAAGTGTTTGAATGGCTTTTTAGCTAAGATAGCTAGCTATGTTAGCTAAAAAAAGTCACAAATAAAAACAAACAACCATAAAATCGTAACCAAAAAGCACAACGTAAAGCACCAGCAAAGAACTTCAACAATGGAGGTGTAGCAAAGGGATAAAGAGAGAGTCGAGCACCTTCCTTCACATAATCAAACGAGAGGTCTCCCAATCAGAGCAGAAGAAAAGCAAGTCTCCTAGCCAAAAGCAAAATCATAAATAATCAAAACAAAGAAAGAAGATAGCTCTCAGTCACAAAAGACTCACAACAACCTAACAATACACCCAGCCAGTAACATAAGCTAAGAAATGTAAGCAGAAAAAGTAGAGAGTGTGGAAGCTGCTGTTCAACCAAGTCAGGGAAGTAGGTTGTATATAAAGTAAATTAAAATCCACATGGGTCCAAAACACTAAGGTCATACTGAACAAACAGCAAAAAGGCACCACTCCATGGTCAAAAGATGAACAGGAAAAGGTTGCTCGTCATAAGAACCTAACCATGCAAGATAAAACAAAGGATTATCAAAAAGTACCATGCAAAGGTATCGAACTATAGAACATTAAAATAAATTCATTAATTAAAAAGAAAAATAAGGATCATTAAAAGAAACAGCCAAGACTGGCTTGCAGGGCACCAAAAAGGCTCTGCCCAAAAATGACAAAAGAAATCCAATAAGAATAACGAAAAAAAAACCCCTCACATTAGCCAACAAAATTTTTACAATATATGAGTTGAGTTTTTTTAGGTTTGATTTGAACTTATGATTAAATTTTAACTACATTCATGTCTTGCTTAGTTAGTACACACACATGATGGGATCTGTTAAAAATTTACACTTGGGATTTAGGTGAATGATTGCCTAAAAGGAGTTGATTTGGATGTCAAGGAGAGGAGGTTGTGAAAAGCTCTACATGTAACCTGAAAGATAATTAGGGATAGGAAGCTGTGGAAGGGATTACACCCATTCTAAAGAAAAGGGAGAGCCTATCATAGAGGGACTCGCGCCCATTCTTGGAAAAAAAAAAGAAAGACAAAAGTGATGTCATACGAGGACTTGCACCTCCAACCCGAAAAAAAGATAAAAACATACTACAAGAGGACTTACGTCCAATACAAAAAGGGATGTTGCATGGCGTACACACACCCAATCCAAAAAAAGTTACACACAACAAGATTGATATGAATCAACACATAAGAGAGAAATTTTTATGTAAAAATTTCAAAGTTATATATATATATATATATATATATATATATAT